GCCTTAGTCTTTACTTCTTGCATGCACAGAGTCTCATGGTCAGCTATGGATAGAGAGTAGAGCCTTTTCAAGTCTTTTTGTGGTATATGCACCACTCTGCACATGCAGTTAGCCTTCTAGATCCCCAGAAATGTGTTAGATCTTTTAAAAACCCCTTTGGAGATCTAATTATCCTTATTTTCCTTTAATTTTTGTGCCATTTAATTACTCCAACTGGCAATAATACCCTCAATAGCTATGATATTAAGCCACTGCCTCTGATCTTTTTTGTCAAATGCCCTGTAGATACTGCCTTCCTTGTCCAGTGAGCTCTGAATCAGTTGAAATAATGACAAAACATGAGAATGGAATTTTTCCAGGAAGTTCCAAGATAGGTCAGATAACGACAATTCTCTGGGGATAGATTTTTAGGGGAATTACAAACCCATTCTACTCATTCCTGTGTCTTCTAGACTACTTTTTCATAGTTACTATCATTCCAAAGTGGTGATTGAAGAAATGGGATGGGAGTAGGGCAACTTAAAATGCCACAAAGTTTAATATTCTCACTCAACTAATTCAACTATTTGAATAAACTCTCTTGAATAACCAATCCTTTGGTTAATTTCAGGAGCCCTTAAAACGATGACTTGACAATTATTTACCCGTGTTCTCAATGCTTTTATGGAAGAGTGGATTTTTGAAGGTCTTTACTTTGCCAATATTGCTTTCTAATAAACTGAATAATTTCTTTAAATCATAAATATTTACATGTACTACAGTACTGATTTTTAAGTACATTATAAATTACTTAAAAATAGAAATATAAAACAAATGTAATGAAAAGTAAATATAAATAAAAGTTCTAATGAGATATGAGCTGTTTTTTGGAGACTTTTGTAAAATTTTACTGCTGATGCAAAATGATTTATCAGGGCTTATAAGTTCTATTGATCATGTTATCAGTATATTTTAAAAGGTTTTAATTTAAGTTTTAGAAGAAGTATATGTTTAAACATTCAAACATCAGAGGGTTATTCAGGAATGCTCTTTTTTGAAAGCAAGGGCTTTAATAATACCCCATAGATTATTTGGCGCTCACAGAGTAGATCAGGAATCAGCAAACTACAGTGTGTTAGCCAAATCTAGCCTGCTGAGGGCCACGTCTAGCCAAACCCATTTGTTCAAGCTGCTTTAATACTACAAAGACAAAGTTGAGTAGTTGTATAGAGACTGTATACCCCAGAAAGCCTAAAATGTTTAATATCCCTTCACATAAAAAGTTGTCTGGTTTTGAAGTCGTTTTCACTGGACATTAGCAGTTCTTGGGATGTATTCAAATTACTAACCATATTTTGAATAAGTATAGATTTCTAGGTTCTATCTTAAGTATCCCAACGTCAATGAGTTACTTGTTCTCTGATTTTCAGTTGAGTTTGGTAGATGGGGAACACTGCTGGGAGACTATTAGATGGAGGAAGAAAAGTGAGGTCAAGGTGTTTATTTCCCTTGTTTCTTCCTTCCTGGCTTCTCTCATTTAAATGGCTCTCTTGATCTATCCTTGTACATCAGTGGCTTCATAATCAACTCCTCCATACCTTCAGGTTGTAGAGGGAATATTTGAGCACTTACCTTTGGGGGGGGCAGATTTAATAATCCTTTATAGTCTCCTTAATCTGTATCCACTCTTTGGTAAGTAATTCCTTTAATTTGCCTTCCCTTTCAAGCTGGAAATCTCATACTGCAAATTTTCTACTCTTCTTTTTTAAATTTTTTAAATTTAAATTTTATTTTTTTAAAAAGATTTTATTTATTTATTCATGAGAGAGACAGAGAGAGAGAGAGACAGAGAGAGAGAGAGAGAGAGAGAGAGAGAGAGAGAGAGAGAGGCAGAAACATAAACATAGGCAGAGGGAGAAGCAGGCTCCATGCAGGGACCTGACGTGGGACTCCATCCTGGGACTCCAGGATCATGTACTGAGCCGAAGGCAGAGGCTTAACTGCTGAGCCACACAGGCATCCCAACTCTTCTTTTTTTAGATAAAAACTTCATCCCATCTTTTCTCCATATTGAACTCCTGTCTTCAAAAATATTCTCTTTCCCTGTTGGTTTCATGTTATTTTAAATTTAAAAATCCTACCTTCTATTTCTTTAATCAAGTTGTTAATAAAATTATAAACTATTTAGGGCTAAGAATAGTATCTGTGGACAGTTATTAGAATGCCCCTTCCTGATTGAATCCATTTATAACATTTTTTGGTGATATTCAACCAGTTACTAATCTGTTTTAAACATCTTTAGTCCTAATGCCTTCATTTTGTCCATTCTTTGACATCCATGCCCTCTGATTCCTCCAAAGTCTCATATTCATAGGAAGTACATGATTTCAATGATTATACATATCTGTTCTCTCTCCAGTCTCAAATCTTCAGTTTCTTACAGGAGACAGAAATTCAGATATATGTAACAAATGGCAGTTTAATGAAGTATTTTAGTTTATTCAAACTTGGCTTTCCTTTAAGAAATCCTATAGGAAGCATTTGCTCTATGTCTGTTGATGTTCTTGTGACACTTGGCTCCTTACGCTTGATCACACTTCTTGACATTGAGGTTCATCAGTGTTTTAACAACAGACATTTCTTGAATTTCTCCATTTGGCCAGACTACATCACACCGAGTACCCTAAGCTAGAGAATTAAGATCAGTGTGAGGTTCCTGATGAAACAGGTCCATTTGACATGACATCATGCTATATAGTATTTAAATTATATAACACATGAATATCTCCTGTTTGGGAAATTCTCTAATCTTTATTGGTGATGAGCATAAACAAAGGTTTTTCAAAATTTCTCCATATATAATTTGCTCATAATTTCTTTTATGGAATTGTTTATCAGAAATCTGTTATTAAATCTTCTCCAGAAAGCACAGCACAAGTGATCAGAAATAAATTGCTGTTGTATTATGTGTATATGAAGGTATTGTTCTTTGTTTAATTATTTTTGGTTTCTGAATACAATATTTTCGTGAATCAAATCAGCTTTAAGTCTAATAACTCTTGGGCCACCTGGTTGGCTCAGTCTATTAAGCCTCTGCCTTCAACTCAGGTTATGATCCCAGAGTCCTATGATCAAGCCCCATGTCAGGCTCTCTGCTCAGTGAGGAGCCTGCCTCTCCCTCTCTGTCTGCGTTCTGCTCTCCTTGCTTGTGCTGCTCTCTCTCTCTCTCTCTCTCTCTCTCTCTCTCTCTGTCAAATAAATAAATAAAATCTTAAAAAAAAAGGACTAATATCTCTTTATCAGAAAGAACCTGACAGCAGGAAGCAGAGAAAAAAATACATAGATTCTATGGAAGAAAGGACCAAGAAACATATGCAGGCTCATTTCACTGCTTGTATTTTCTTAAAGAATTGAGGCATGTTGGTAAGCTAGTAACAAGAGAGCGTTAGAGGACCACCACTGAAGAGAAGAGCATCATTAGTTCCAACTAGTGATTCCTCTACCCTTACTTGTTGGTGCCAAAATGTAATTGTATAAAAAATGATGACATAGTGGATTATGAAATACTTTGTAAATCTTTTCCCTTAGATAATAGATTAATAATAATAATAATAAACATTTAATAAATGCTTACTGTAGATGACCAAAAGCTTGGAAATCTAGACAAATATGCACAATAAATAGTTAATGATATTATAATGTATGATTTGTTCAGTAGGCTTTCTGGTATATTCAGCGTATTGCCCTTCATCATACTGTTCATCATCCTCAGATAAGCTTTGTAGAACTCACATCTTGTACAGTTAAAAGGCACACAGTTTGGAATCTTTTGAACAGTTCTGCAAGGCACCTCTATTCCCTTGGATGCTTGGCAAGTTGGCCAGTTTGTATCAGCAACACCACTGGCTATAACTGTTTCCTTCATATTATTGGAAATGAATGCTAGTCCACAAAAGAGTTTGCCAACAGACTGACTATACCTTGAATATTTTTTAAAAGATTTTATTTATTTATTTATTTGTTTGTTTGTTTATTTATTTATTTATTTATTTATTTATTTATTTATGAGAGACACAGAAAGAGAGGGAGAGACATAGGCAGAGGGAGAAGCAGGCTCCCTGTGGGGAGCCTGATGCAGGACTCCATCCCAGGACCCTGGGATCACGACCTGAGCCAAAGGCAGACATTCAACTACTGAGCCACCCAGGTGCCTCTGCACCTTGAATTTTTAAACCAGTTTTCTAACTGTGCTCTGAGGAATGGCAACTCTTTTAGGGTGGTACATATGAAAATATTCTATTGTTCATTGTTAGGATCAGCCCTTCATCTACTCAGCAGTATCAGCTCAACACATTCATCTTTCATCAGTCTTTTAAAAAATATATAAAATTTTGGTATTTATGTTTCCAGCTTTTATGGATACCCTGCTTATATTGAGGAATCTTCTTTTTTCATGTAATCCTCCTTGTAAATCTACGAGTTGGCTTCTATTATTCCTTACATTTTATAGAGGAAGAAGTAGAGGTAGAGGGAGATTAAGTAACTTGTCCAAAATCACAGAACTGGTAAATGAAAAATTATGGGTTTTAGGTTTAGGGAGGGAGAACAAATTAAGGGAGAAAAATTGATGAAGAAATACTATGTTAGCTAGTAGAACACAAATATTTTGCTGTATGTTTATATAATTGATTAACTGTTAATATAACCTGCTCTCTGGTTTGCATATTGGATATCAGATTTTTAAGAAACACCAAAATGGTTTCCAGAGAGCTTTTCTGATAACCGTACTTCACCATGAAAGTGCTAGGTGGCCTTTGATAAATTTTTAGCATCTCTGTGCCTTCAAAAATGGAGAGGATTTTAGCTATCTACCTACCAGGTGAGTTGCTATTTGGAAATTCGAATATAAATTGTTTTTTGACTTCCTTGGAAGAAAGTCATTCTATAAAAACAAATTTGGGCTATTATAATGACAAGTGTGTGAGTGTACATTAATTTCCCCCTTATGTTGTTATTGCCAGCAGATGGAGGTCGAAATTGAATTGCTGCTGACTGTTGTCCCTTGTTATGGCCTGTGGAGATATGACAATTGAGGAAGAACTTAGAGGAATGCCAAGTAGCAGAGCATGAAGCAGTGGGTGTGACCCACTGCCTTGGACATTTTATGGCTGATAGCATTTGGCAAGAAAAAACTGCAGCCTCTATAGTAGTCTTGCAAATAGATCTCAACATTAACTATGCCCTCACCCTCACCCGTATTTGATTTACCCTATAATGTACTCATTTGCTAAAATCCACTCTTCTAATTGTCAGCTAACTCACTAGTCCTCTCACAAAAATACCTAAATAACTAAATAAATCATACTTGAAGACGTTTCTTTGTTTCATTGCAAATTTGGGCACAGAAAGTCGAGGCAATGCATCTGAAACTTCTTGTCCATTCTACTTTGATTTCTTCTGGGCTTGTTCTTTTTGTTTGTTTGTTTGTTTGTCCAGAGATTATTACCTAGGGAATCCTTGGATGACCTTCCAGGGGTGCCTGACCCAGGGGAATTAGAAGCACAGTATCTGTGCATGCTATCACGTCCCTTTTTTGTTTTTTTCTATTAGGAGAGTCTGTGGCTTTCACAAGATTCTCAAAGGGGCTTAGGACTTCAAAAAGCTTGTGAATCCCTGCTTTGGATCTTTGGTTTATGGGGCAGTGAAACGTTGTATGTTTGCTTTAACGATTGAGACACAGCATTTTATGTGAATGAGAACAAGGGAGTGGTGGAGAAAAACAGCTTGGAGGGCATTATTACCTTTCCCAATCTTCATTTCTTGTCATGAATTATTAATCATGAGGTAACACTTCATCTGATGCTTTGAAAACTCTCCCCCTGGTAAGAACAGCCTAATTGAATTGGAGGAAGTGGAGCAGGAAAAACTAAACGTGGACGTTGATGGTTTCACCAAAAGCAATTATACACCCTACAGCCTTCTCCACCTGTTTGAAAACCCAAGGCCCACTAATTCTCATGCCACAAGGGAATGGATGGGAAAGTAGAGGAAAAATTAAAATTGTGGAGCTTCAAACATATCTTCCTTGAGACTACTTCATTTTGGCTAAGGGGTGTATGGGGGGATAAGGGAGGATAAGTGGTGTGGGCAGGGGTCTGATGTATGGGAGATGAGAGCACAAACCAGTTCAGCCTCTCTGGAGGGCATTTGGGCAAGGGAACGAAAACTTTAACACAGGCATGTTTCTACCCAGTAATTCCAGTTTCAGCAATGCATGTATCTAAAATTTTAAAATAATTCATATACATAATAGAATATGGAGGAGTCATTAGAAATCATGATGAAATACATTTTTATATGAAACTATGTTTTTGATATTTTGTGGAAAAAAGTCAATAAGCCAATATGTATGTGTACATAGTATAATGTAATACACATTGATGAGAAATGTAATACTATGATACTGAGGAATATGTTCCTTAAGGCATATTTTTATATAATATCAACATGGAAAAAGTCTGGTAGGATAAAATGGTCCCCATTGGGTGCTGTGATTGCAGTTAATTTATTTTTGCTTATCTTCATTTTCATTTCATTTTCTGTAATAAGCATGGTTTTGTTTTTTTGTTTTGTTTTTGGTTTTGGTTTTTCTTTTTTGTTTGCCATTAAATGTAAGATACAAATTTAGACAATATCTTCTTTTGAAAATACAGACTCCAGGTTGAAAATAGGTGATCGTATTAGCAAAGGACCAACTCTTGCCAACTTTCAAAGATTGGGTCCCAGCCCTCAGAAGCTGAAGCAGATAGTGATGAAGAATGCCCTTCCTCCTTCCAAACCAGGAGAGGCCAGCCTGGGCTTTTTCTGTGGATCTGAACCACTCCTTTCTGTCCACAGCCAGGTCACACCAAGAGAGTCTCAGCTATGTTAAATAGCATGTGGAAAGGCTTTTAAAGACATTTGGATTAAAAAAAAAAAAAGTCATCTCTGTCCCTACCAGAACTTCCAACTTCATGCTGCTTACGTGCTGACTTCCCTTCGGTGCCTGTGCTTACTCTGATCATAGCATCTTCCAAACAAGGCTGGAATTATCTGTCTGTCTGCCTTACAGGATGAACACACTCTGTGTCTTGGTTTCCACTGTACCCGCAGTGCCTAGCACAACACTCCATCAGTAAGTGCTGAGTGAATACATGATAAAAGGAATAGATGAATGAAGGGCAGCAAGGAACTACCAACTTCACTCTGTTGGATTCCCCAAAAGCAAATGCAGTGAAATCCAAGTCTGGGGAATGAATATTTTCCAAAGATAACAGAATAGAATAGGCGTTTCCAAGGGATAAGAAACCAAGATGCAAAATACCACTTGTGGGGATGTGGAAGGGCTAACAAGGAGGGAAGGGGTGCTGCAAAAACCAAGCTGAAATGAAAAGGCAAAGATGGGTTGTTGCAGTTATATTCCATGATTGTAAATAACATTACTGGAGGCATGGGGGAACAAAGGTTGTTTAGTTTGCAGAGAAGTGGATTCTTGAATGGGTGAAAATTAAATCTGCGGGATGATTTGACGTGGAGACAGCACACAGGACGATTTTAGCCACATAAACAAGAATGGCCGTGTGCAATGATTTCTATTCAACCCCCCTGGCTTCCTGGCCTAAGCTGATTATTATTAAGCATTTATGTGGCATTTCATATGTACAAGTGCTTTACAATCATTTATTATTTATTCCTCACAACGTGAGAAAGCCACAAATCAAGGGCAGGGATAAAGTTAATACAATTTTATTAAACAGGAGGGGTGTGCCTAGCAGCAGGCTCAGCTACAACCAGGGAGTGTGACCTCACAGGAGAGAAGAAACATGACAATTACTTTTTCTCTTTTTGTGTTGCAATTTACACTTTTAATCAGTATTAAGTCAGGTGACCCTGCACACCTAGGAGAGCTCCTGGGAGCCTGGAAACCTGGTGTGCCAACCCAGGGGAAAGCCTGCCTCTGAATCTGTCGTTTCTATCACCAGTTTCCTCCCTCCACCCCCCCCCCCCCTTGCCGGCTCCATTTTATTTCTTAGAGTTCGTGTTTTCCTTTTCTCTTTCTTCCATCATGCCTCTCCTTTTGTTTGTTCCCATTTAGTTCTCTCTCATCTCGGTCTTCTTCTCCCTTCCTCTCCTCTCCCTCTCTGACTCTCCTTTCTCTTCGCTGCTTCCTTCCCTGCTTGCTGTCTCTCCTTCTCTCTCCTCCCACAGACACATGGAGACACGCACGGACACTCCACACAGAGAAAGCAGCAGAATCTAATTGTAGGAGGTGCAGAAGGTCATTTCCTCTCGAAGACAGCACTCCTTCACTGCCTTCTTCTGAGACCTGACACATGGAAAATTTTAACTCGATTTGTACAGGGAGAATAATGCCAGTGTTAATCCAAGTTGCTTGGAAGGTCATTTAAAAACCATTCCAGGTTGTTTTACTCCCACTGCTAGTGTTCTTCAGGCACTTCTCATAAATGCTAATGAATAATTCACCTTGGTAGTATAGACAAACACAGGCTGGTGGTGTTATTTGGAAATCATTCAAATTGACTAATTAGTCATTTCCTTTAGATTTTATTTAACAAAGGAAAAAAAGGATTTTGAGATATTTGGTAAACCATACGTTACTAAAATCTTAATAACTCGTATTAATTTGAGGAAGGGCTGATCACATTCAGGGAAAGAGCCTGAATGGTCGCAACTTTTAAAAATTATATATAAATTTATTACATTCTAGGCAGAATCTTATTAGACAGTGAACGAAAATATCTTAGCTAGAGGTCTCACTGGTCTAATTTTGAGGAATAGATAAGAATCATTTGTTATTAATGCATGTATTGAAACAAAGAGTAAGAGATGAATACTCTCCCTAAAATCCCTTTAAATACTATTATTCATCCATGACCACCTACTATGTGTAGGATGCAGTGTTCTACATGCAAGTGATATAAGAGGCAACTGACACAAAAGGTCCTTGCTTTCATGGAATTTAGATTCTAGTGGCAGTATTTTATATAGATAAAGATAATTGTTAGATGATTAGATAGACAGATAGATAGGTAAAAATGGATGGATGTCACATAATGACAAGTGCTAGGCAGAAAATAGAAAGTGATTGAATATGTTTTGGTGTATGTTGGATGCTATTTTTGGAGGGGTGAGGAAAAGCCTTTAGGGAAGGTGACAATACAGCAGAGACCAAATATTGAGAAGGAATCATTGTGTTAAGATCTGAGCATTTCAAGGAGGTAGATAAGCAAGGTCTAAGGGCCCTGAGGTGGGAACAAGCTCAGTGTGTTGAAATCTTATGTGTCTGTAGCCTAGTGAAAAACGAAAAGAGTGGTAGGAGTAAAGCATTAAGTCTGACCAGGGACTTAGTGTTTTACTCCATTGTTTCTTTCTTTTGCTTATTGGACTTTTCCTAGTTAATAAAGGGAAGTTTCATCCCAGTGACTAAATCATTGCAATTCTCCATTACTGGTAAGAACAGGATGAGTTTGTTCAGTTGTGACCAATGCATCTCCCCTTTGCACACATTTACTTTTAAACCTGTAACCATTCCCTACACAGGCCAGTAGCTGTAAGTCTTCAGTGTACCAATAAGGAGAAACCTCAGAGAACAAAGATGGGCCTTTCTTGTTTTTTTTTTTTTTTCCAATTCAGTGAAAGGCATAACATAATTAAGATAATATGTAATAAAGCACATTCTTGGATCTTATCCTCCGGATCATATCAGGATCCTCTTAGTTAAATGGAAGATTTCTGCATTCTACTTGCCCCCTTTCCAACCTACACCAAATCCAGAAAAGAGGAGATAGATGCCTGACCTGACCAGCTACCATCTTTGGAGCTGCAGGCACTCTGTCAAAACTTTCCTCCATGCTGTACTCCTTCACCAGGAAGTCAAGGTCTTCCCAGCTTAAATTGGATCGCTAATCTGCTAGTCCAATGGTCACCAGCCAGTGGCCTGAGATATAACACATAGACTTAGTGAGAGATGTGGCTCAAAAGACATTTTGGAGTCAGATAGGGATGGATCTTGAAAATAATGTTAGATGATGTTGTCAACCTAAAGAGGTAAAATAA